CTTGTTTATGTTCACTTCCCGGATCGCGTAAGGTGGATGCCCCATAAAGAGCAGAAAGGAATGGAACCTGCAAGGAAAAACAATAGGGCCAATGACTTCCGTTATAAGGAACAAAAATTGATTATCTAAAAACTTCCAGTAAAAAAAAAAAAAAAACATCAGCGGGAGACAATGTTCTTCTTTCCTGGGGCCTTGAGGTTGAAGAGTCCTCTCAAGAGACAACGAGACCAGAGATCAAGTTCAGCTCACTTTCTCATTGGGGATGGTGAGGGTGAGATGGCAGGATTGCAGGAGATTAAGTATGTTTTTCTTTTTGCTTACCTGTGTTTTAATGCTTCCTAAAATGGATTTGTGCAAGTTTTGTAACAAAAATGAATATTGCAGTTTCTAGATTATATAAAAATTAAATAAGAAATAAAGAAACATTGCTTAGCAATTCCTTGGGAACCTGCTCCAGTGAAGCTTGGAAAAGACATGAACATATTATGAACAATATGTCAGTTGACGGTTTATAAAAAGATGTTTGTAAAGTTTTCTCTGAGTAAATATTTTGATATCTTTTTTACAATTTTACATACAATCTGAATTTAATTGGAACACATCGAATGAGACACACAAAATTATCTCAGCTATTTAATTTATAAATAAGAAATTGTTGAATGTTATTTACTTAAAATTTTTGTAAAAGAAGTTAAATGAGCAGACGTGTGCCCAATTTTTGGTTTTCAGGATATGAGGAAGAAGATAGTAGGAGACAGAGTGAAATTTTTATGTAAGCAAACAGTATTATATAAATGATACCACTATTTATAGACAAAAACTTTTGTTGTTGATCATTCTAATTCGTACACTTAGAAAAAGGTTTGGTTTATTTTTCAAATGAGTGACACTGACTTATTCTTTTTGTGAAAAACAACCAAGTAAAGCATACAACAGGAATTTAAGGTAAAGGGGGCTGAAAAATGCTGTTTAAAACAAAACAAAAAAAATGCTAGTAAAAATATGAAACTCTTAGAAGAAAACATAAAATGTTATGACTTCGGATTAGGAAATTATTTCTTAGCTATGATACCAAAAGCATAAGCACCCAAAGGAAATATAGATACATTCAACTTCATCAACATTAAAGAGCTTTTGTGCTTCAAAGGACTCTGTCAAGAGTGAGAAGACAACCCACAAAATGGAAAAAAACATTTTCAAATCATATGCCTGATAGGGAGTGTGTATCCAGAACATATAAAGAAATGTTACAACTCAACACTAAAAAACAAGCAAACAAAGACTGACACAGGATTTGAATAGACATTTCTCATATAAAGGTATGCAAATAGCCAATAAGTGCATGAAAAGATGCCCAACACCTTTAGTCATCAGGGGAATGCAAATCAAAACCACAATGAAATGCCCTTCACACTCACTAGGATGCAAACAATGAAAAAGACAGGCCATGATGCATGTGGTGAGGATATGCAGAAACTAGAACCCTCACGTGGCACTGATGAGACCATAAAAATGGTTCGGCCGCTGGGGACAAGCCTGGCAGTTCCTAAAAAGCTAAAATAGAGCTACTTTATGACCTAGCAATTTCGTTCCTATGCATATACCCAAAAGAAAGGAATATATTTGTTCACACTAAACCTTCTACACAACTGTTCATAGCAGAATTAATCATAATAACCAAAAAGTAGAAAAGAAGCCAAATATCCATCAGCAGATGAATGAACAATAGGTGATATCGCCATACAAGGTCTCTCATAACTGGCCTACTACCTCTCTGACCATATCTACTGTGACCCCAGCCACACTGGAACCTCCTGATTCCTTGAACAAGCCCACCTCAGGGCCTGTGTGGCATCTTAGCCTTTCCTTTTACACTGGGGGCCCTAGGGGAACATGGAGTCCTGAAGGGACTGAGGGAAGGGGTGGGGAGGCCACTCCACTGGGAGGACCATAGACCCTAACAAGGCGTTCGGTACCAGCTGTTCCCTGGGCCCAGAGCATGGTAGCACCCTCTCAATCCATAGGTCTCTGTCCAAATATCACATCTTCAGAGAAGCCTTCCCACCATAACTACAGTGAATTCCTGGTTCATGCAGGTCATCCCATTGGGTGACCAATAGTGAGTAAACAGGGACTGAGGTCACATGAGAGCAACATCATCCCAGCTTACCAGGGAGAATTATCTATATATCTCTCTATATATAAAAGGTTAAGTGACCAACCGTCCGTCCATCCAACTGGCCAACCAACTAGCCAGTACATATGATGTGCACTGGCAAGTTAAAAATAAACATTGACTCGCGCATGCGAGATACATATAAAGCTCTCGCTGGCGCCAATCGCATGCATGTGCTTCTATCTGTCATTATCAATTGTGAATTTGGTTGTTTTTGTTGACATTCTGAAGCTGAGAGAAAGTGGTGGCGTCGACAGAGTATTTCTGAAGACCAACTATTGGCACAGTGTACCTCTGACACTTCATCTCTGACACTTCTATTATAGAGAAAGGGCGAATAGTGATATTAAAATATTTCTTCTAATTAATTTCCTTTCAATGTTCACAGATCTTTGCACCAGGCCACTAGTGTATATATAATTACACACACGCGTGGGCACACGCGCGCGCGTGCACACACCACACACACACACACACACATTATAGCTTAAGGAATAGATGTAGCACTGAGTTTTCATGCATCCAGGATAAAATGGTTAATGTGACCAGGCAGAACAGCTTTACAAGACTTTCATAAAATTGCTCCAGTTTCATGATATTCCAAATGAAAACTATTTGTTTATTTGAGTAGTTTTAAGTGAGAAATCGCTTGTATCATACAAAGCATGTAGGGCCAAAGCAGCTCATGTGCCCTGCCTCCCTCCATGATCCCATTAAAAGCAGAGTGTGCTTGAATTTCAGTGAGAAATCTGACAACATCTCGGGTAATGTCCTTCCACCCAGGGGGCAGCTGTGAGGTCTGGATGGGGTGCAGTGAGGTATTCAAACAACCAAATTCCAAAAGCACTGAATAGTGAATAGTTGCCAACCTAGAGGGAAGACTCTGTTCCTTATTCCTGTTCTGTTCCTAACAGTTAAAGATGACCCCCATCCCCATGCCTACCCACCGAACGGTCTGGAGCAAGACCCAGGAGGTCTGGCTACCAAAGCAGCAAAGGACACAAGCTGGGAGGGCTCCCAGGTGGACAAGAGAATCAGGTTCTTAAAAACAGTCTCAGGGAGGTGAAGTGAAGCACAGGGAGTCTAGTCATCAATGTTGTAATAACTACATATGGTGCCAGGTGGGTGTGAGACTTACCGGTGATCACTTTGTAAGGCATGTACGTGTTTAATTACTGTGCTGTACACCCGAAACTAATAGAATACTGTACATCCACTGTAATTAAAAATGAAAGTACTGTGTGACTTCAAGGAAGGCGAAGGAAGGAAACAAGGACAGAAGGGGAAAGGAGGGAGGGAAGAGAAAAAAGAATAAAAAATATGAAATGTTTATGAATACATGAAAATACCACACATCTGTTTGGAAACTTATAAAGTGCTCAGGCAGAGCCCAGGGAGTGTGCCGAGAAGCAGCCCTCTGGCACGGCTGCAGCTGAGACGGCCCCCAGGGAGGGCTTCCTCACACAGCTGCAGTGGGGCTGTCTCAGGGCCTGCCACCCGGGCTCTGGTCCGCTGCAGGCCGACCACACACCGCAGGTCTGCAAGCTGCATGCTCGCTTGCCAAGGTGCAAGGCCCAGAACAGGGCACTCAAACCCCCGAGATCAGAGTGACGGAGCAAAGGGAAAGAAAGTGGTGGTGCGTGGTAGGCAATGCCCTGGCCTGGGACACGGGAAGACCCAGGCTCTGGCCTGGGTGCTGCCTCCACTTCCAGGTGAGATAGCCCTGGATGGCCCTGGAGCCATCCTAGATCCCTGCCAGCCTCCTTGTAGGGAAGCAAGGCCTCACACATCACTGCTGTGTCTCCCAGGGTCCTCTTGGATCCTGTGCTCTGAGGAAGGCTGGTCCAGAGGGTGGCACCAGGCAGACCGCAGCACAAAGCCACCACCGAGAATCAATGAGTCGAAGGTCTTGGAAGGCAGACTGTGGATCGTATAAGGAAGGAACTTGCCCGGTGGGTGTAGCTCAGTGGTTGAGCATCAACCTATGAACCAGGAAGTCATGATATGATTCCTGGCCAGGGCACATGCCCAGGTTGTGGGCTCAATTCCCAGTAGGGGGCATGCAAGAGTCAGTGGATCAATGATTCTCTCTCATCAATGATGTTTCTATCTCTCTCCCCGTCTCCTTTTCTCTCTCTGAAATCAATAAAAAATGTTTTTAAATGAAGAAAAGGAACTTTTCTAAAAAGTCAATCTGCCTCACAAAACGTGTGCTGTCTGTAGGCAGGACTGTTCAAACAGACGGGGAGATTCAGGGCTCAGCTTATCAGAGATGTTATAGATTCAAGTCCTGATCAAGGAGGAATTGTGAATGACATCTCTAAGATTCTTTCCGACCTTATGATTCAATGGCATTATAGTATTGTGTGTGTGTGTAAGAAAAATTAAGTGCCCATGAAACAAACATGTGCATCAAAGTCACCCTGGCCACATACCAAGAATTTATCTATCACACAATTTTTGTAAATTTAACCTTCAGATCTCAGTTTGCAGAATATTTTCAACATGCCCTTTTACTGGTGTTCCCATATGTTCCTCACTCTGCTTACCTGTTAATGATTCTCCTATGGACAATCTTTAAAATTATAATTCGCTCAGCACAGTCTTTCAGGAACTCTGACATTCGTTGTTTTAAAACGGGTTTCATTTCATGTTTTGCAATTGCCTTGAGGTGATCCCATGAAGCTTTGCATCGTCTCTCCATCTGACATAAATTATCCTGAAGCTGATCAAAGTCAACCTGAAAATCAGAGAGAGAACACTGAAAACGCGCTGAAACCGCCAGACCCCAACCTGAACCAGGAAGCCCCGTTGCCTCTGGGAAGAAATAAACATCAAAACCAAATTTACATCTTGAAATACAAACATACTTATGGCCTCGAATTTATCCACATGTGGATCTGTCATTATCTCGGCATCAAATTATTTAGTGATAAAACCCTTCTGCAAATGAACCCAATGCGAGCGGCAACTTTCTTTTCTTTTTGCCACATTTGGAAAAGAATCGTAGGCAAGTCTTTGAAAACTGTAAATTAAAACATGATATCCAGGAACCCTCGTACAAGATGAACTGAACAGATGGGTCATAAAATTTTTCAGAGCACTCTTGTCCTTCCCGGAGGTTGGAGGAATGCACCACAGTCACAGATGGACGGCTCTGATGTGCCCCAGCAAAGGGGCAGCCTGCTTCTCGTCACAGGGACCTGGGGCAATAGTTACCTCTAGTAATTGCCAAAGTGAGTGGGCAGCAGCCAAGCTACAGGCAGAAACACGTAATTTAGTTATTAGTTTGGAAAAGGCCTGATACTGAGGGGGTCCCGGGGCCGTCACTGGGGTCAGCCTGGGGTCAGGACACTCAGGCCAGGGCTACTTTGGTTACATGCAGGCTCCACCCAGAGGTCAAGGCCCTGGGAAAACAAAGGACCACTTGTAAAAAGGGAACCAATTTGTTCTGGATGGTTCTGGAAACAGGACCACGGTGAATCTAGACAGCCAGACAGACTTTGTCTGTTATTCCTAACACACTGTCTCGTGGAAAGGTGCTCAGGGGTGTTGGAGCTGCAGCTGAGGACCCCCGTGGGGATACTCAGAGGGGCTTTTGCTTGTTTGGGTTTAGAAGGAATATTGGCAAAGACTTCAGAGCAGTGCCTGGCACAGAGGAACATGGTAAGGGTGCCTGCGAAACAGTGTTTCCTAAGAGAACTCTCGTTAGCCTCTGAGCTGGGGGATCGCTGGCCGTGCCTCCTCCTGCCTCAAGGCAGGTCCACTGCCAGGCTGGCTCAGGGGCCACCTGCTCAGTGTCCCTGGCAGTTGCCAGCCTGTTGGTCCTGGGGCAGGTGGAGGAGTGTCCCAGCCCCTGGGTCCCCACAAGCTACTTCTGTGGGAGAAGGCGGAGGGAAGAAGAGCTCTGTGGACAGACCTTAGAAAAGTCCCCTTTGCTTCCTCCCCCTTCTGCTCATCACTCTCTCCTCTTCTCACACTAGATTCCGATGTGACCCAGACCTAATGGTCACTCTGCTTTCGGCTCCTCGGCCTGGGTTGTGTTTCCAGGAGTTTCCACCACACCCCTCCCGTGTGTTTGCTGTTGCCCCCAAGATCCTGACATCTCCCAGCTCTGCTGTATTTGAGGTTCCTCTGGGCTGTTGAACCTCAACGATGCTCCTGCAGGGGGCGCAGCTGGCTGTCCAGCGACTGCACTGTCTCCCTTCTCACACACCACCCTTAGCGAAGGTTTGCACTCTGCACTGCATTTAGGGTGGTGGTTTTCAACCTTGTGGCCCTTTAAATACAGTTCCTCATGTTGTGACACAACCATAAGATTATTTTCATTGCTACTTCATAACTGTAATGTTACTACTGTTATGAATCGTCATGTAAATATCTGATATGCAGGATGGTCTTAGGGGACCCCTGTGAAAGGGTTGTGCGACCGCCAAAGGGGTCACGACCCACAGGTTGAGAACCGCTGATTTAGGGGCTTGCACTGAGGGCCCAGGGCCATGTACGGTTACAGCCCTATAAACCCATTCCCTCTGGGGACCATCACAGGGACGGCCAATCTGCGGGGCAGGGGGCCAGGCGAGCCCGTTTCCTGGCTCAACACCTCACTGCTGGGTCCTATGGAAGTCCGAGGAGGAGCCAAACTGCCTCTTTGTGACATCTTTGCCCACATTAAACAAGCTGGGAGTTTTAGTGCCCGAGAACCCAGCCTGGTGAGTAACACAGCTCCTCCGTGGACATAGCAGTTGGGTCGGGGATGGCAGGCTTGCTCACATACCTCAGTAGGAAAGAATCCGGCGGAGAAGCAGAGATGGGAAAATGATCTTAAAAGTGCGCTCCAAGAGGCACGAGACGAGTCAGAGTCACAGACTCCAGAGCAGGGGATGCAAGCGGCCCTGGGTGTCTTACTTCACGGAGCTTGTGCTCCTGAGGACGGGCACAGGCCCAGCTGAGGGGGAGACAGACCTTGCTCCGGGGCCACACACATACCTTGGCTGACCTGGTGACGGCCCCGATCTCTGAGTACAGGTCGGAGCTGTCGGGGAAGTTCTCCACCACCATGGTGCACACATGGTGGAGGAGCGACTGCTTGTGCACGGTGTCTTTTACTTCTGGAACCTTCTCGAGGTAGCTTAACTCAAACGCTTTGGCCTGGTAGGTGAACATCAAATAAAAGGCAGGAAGGACAAGTTTTATGCAGGTTCTTAGAAAGACACAAAAGGTTAGACTCGATGCCCTATTGGAGCAGCCCAATATATATTTGTTAAAGATGTGTTTTTTTAATTGATTTCAGAGAGAGGAGAGGACTGGAGAGGAGAGGAGAGGAGAGAGGAGAGGAGAGGAGAGAAGAGGGAGACAGAGGAAAAAAATCAATGTTGAGAGAGAATCATAGATTGGCTGCCTCCTGCACAACCTCCCTCCCCTGCCTCCACTGAGGAACAAGCCCTCAACCTGGCATGTGCCCTGACTGGCAATCGAACTGTGATCTCCTGGTTCACAGGTCAATGATCAACCCCTGAGCCACACTGGCCAGGCCAACCCAGCTTCCCAGGGCATACACTCTATCATTCCTAGCTGGTCACACCTGGATGAGCACATAGAATGAGATGAGCCTCCAGCCCTTCCCCACCACAGCCCTCAGCCATGGGCTGTCCCAAGGGTCTGCCCCTAAAAGCAAGGTGCTGGGAGGCTGGGACTCTGCCATCTGGGTATCTACACTCCTTTTCTCTCTTTGCCTATTTCTATTCTACTTCCTGGCCAAAGATAGGCCCATTTTCAAACAAGTCTGTTTATAATGCATATAATTACAAATATTTGAGTGACAAAAAACAAATATTTGGCCCTGGTCAGTGTAGCTCAATTGGTTGGGTGTCATCCCATGTACTGAAAGGTCACTGGTTCAAATCTTGGTCAGGGCACATGTCCAGGTTGCACGTTTGATTCCTGGTCGGAGTGTGCGGGAGGCAGCCGATTGATGTTTCTCTCTCACATCGATGTTTTTTCTCTCCCCACCTCACTTCCTTTCTCTTTAAAATCAGTAAAAACTCATTTAAACACAAATATTTGTACTTACAACAGACAAACAACAGAAAAGCCTAGAAGAAAATACTTCCAATACCAATTTTGAAAGTAGCTGACCTTCGAAGGAATAGTATGTTCATTTTTCTAAGTTTTCTTAATTATAGCAAGATACAGGTTCAAATACAGAGGCCCTGGTATTTTAAAAACAAATTTCTACATTTTTAGCAAGAAAACACAAAAGTTGTCTTTTGAAGACCAGTTGTGCTTTGGAAAGCCAGTGGTATGACAGCCTCCACCAGCAAGCAGAGGGCAGGGATTCTGCAACGAGGGAGGGAGGGAGAAGGGATAGGAAGACTTACATTAGTTCCATTTAGAAAGTTCCCGATGGCTAAGAGAGTAGACAGGATGAAGCCCAAGGTTTTATTGTTCTCCAACTGGTCTATTCCTTCCTTCAGGTCCAGGAGTGGTTCTGCCACTTCCTTTCAATTAAAAAAAAATGGAAGAAGATGATAATGTTCATTTTGGTTTTACTTTGTTCTTTTAATTTCTGTACAAGGTAATAACAAATTCTGCTCAGAACAGGGCAATCCCACATGATCTGCACATGCTCCTTGTCAAGGAAAAATGCCAAAGTGGCAGGGAGCAAGTCTAGTCCCTAAAGTCTCCCCAGTGGAGGCCAAGTGGGGACCTGTGGCTAACAGGAATGTGTGCTGGGGGATAAGTCACCCGCCCGCCCCCTTTCCCGCCCATCTTCCAAGCACAAGCAGGACTTAGCACCCCGTCTCCTCTCATCTCACCACAGCTGACTTCTATGACACTCCTCCCACTCATGCTCCTTCAGAATCTGGACCAGTCGTCTTTGCTTTTCCCCCACCAGGCAGATGACACCGGACACTGTGGCCTCACTGTCCCTGGACCACCCAGGTCTCCTAACCTCTCCTCTAGGCACTCTGGCCAGTCACCTCTTGGTCTGGGGTCCTTTCTAGAAGGCCACCACCCTCATCACCCCCACGGCCTTCCTCCGTCCCACTCTCTCAGACTGGTAGCCTGCCCTGCAGCCTCATGGCCTCGGTCCCTTTTTGACTGTCACCGTGCGGTCCCCACTCCCATGTTCTTACTGAGTGTCTCCCAGAGCCAGAGGTTCACCTTCACTCTGCAGCCTAGCTTCCACCCTGCCTGTCCCCAACCAGGGCTGACCTACCTGACTGTTTTCTCCACGACGCCACCTAATCTGGCTGGAGAGAGCCACCTAAACCTGCTGACTGGTTTTGTGATCAAGTCATGCCCAGTCACCTGGCAGTCCAGGTTTCTTCATTC